TACGTACTACGTACTACTACTACTACGTACAGACACTACACGTACACACTACTCTACACACACACACAGACAGACAGACAGACAGACAGACAGACAGACAGACAGACAGACAGACAGACAGACAGACAGACAGACAGACAGACAGACAGACAGACAGACAGACAGACAGACAGACAGACAGACAGACAGACAGACAGACAGACAGACAGACAGACAGACAGACAGACAGACAGACAGACACACACACACACCAACAAATATGCTCAAATTTAACAAAACAAATGAACAAGTAGAATAAACACTGTAAATTAATATTTCAAAAATATCATTTAATAAAAGTTTAAAGTCTTGATTGACAGCCAGAGTTGTGTTGTTTCCAAACAACACAACTCTCACACAGCAAACAAACCTACCTGATTGCTGGGCCTGCGTTTGAGGCAGTTGGAATTGAACTTGTTGAGATGAAGAACATGAATGGCACTCTTGAGGCTGAGGTGATGCAGCTGGCTGGTCACTTTAAGGAATAACAATTCATTCTGAAAAGAAAAGAAGAAGTACAACAAAGAAAACAGACAAAGAGCATTTAGTCTCAGTATAAAAGTTACTGGTATGTCAACTTTAATCCATAACGCAAACATGTGTTTCAAATCCTTATGTTATCCAGAAAATAAACTTGTTGATGAATTTGATGAATCCTGGTTTACATTTAAAGCAATGTGCCAATCAGCTGTTATTCGATCAAACATTTGATGAATATTGAAAAACATACCACAGTGAGGAACTGCAGCATCTGCCCATCAACTCTTCCTTCATTAAACTGGTCTTTGTATTGAGGAAGCCCGATGTCATCAAGCCAACCTTTGAAACATAAAATATTCTGTTTTAATGTAAGGCAACTTCAGATTAATATTTTATTATGAGTGTGTGTTGTAAGTGCGTACGAGTGACCCAGATGTAATCGAGCTCTGCAGACTTATCAGGCTGTTTGCTGCTGATGGCCTTGATGGCCAATTGGAGCTTTTTCCTGTGGAGCGGATTCTTTATCGCCGGCTCCTGGAGACACAGCGACGGAAAACATGTCTTCACCTTTTGAGGGATACTTAAAAGTAGCAATACTAAATTGTTTAAATATTCTGTTCCAAGAAAAAGTCCTGCATTAAAAATATGACTTAAGTAAAAGTACACAAGTATTAGCATCAATATATACTTATATATATAAGTACTTAGAGCTTTTTAAAATAACTTTATATACTGCTGCTGGATATCTTAACGATTATTATAAGTCAATGTTTATTTAACAGATCATTCATATTTTGTGTTAGCTAATATTCTGAATATTTAAAGTAATTCAAGCAAAAATGAGTTGGAGTATAATGTAGCACAAAATAAAAATACCCAGTAAAAGTACATCTACCTCAAAATTGTACTTAAGTAGGACACTTGAGAAAAGGTACTTCGTAATTTTCAATCATTGAATATTCATTATTAATTATTTATTATTGTGTTTTTTTATTCTTTATTTTACCTTTACTTTACCAGGATAGGTCTCATTGAGATACAAATCTATTTTCTAAGAGAGTCCTGGCCCAAGATAACTGAACACAATCACAATCATAACCCAATCACAGTCAGAACAAGACCAACCAAAGCATTTACAGACCCAGCAGCCTGCTTCAGGGTCATTTATGGCGCGTTTCCACTGCAGCGAGGAGCTCGCTTTAAGCGTGCCGAGCCGTGCGGGGCCCGTTTTTGGTTGCGCTTCCACTTGGCCTAGTTTTGCCAAAAGTAGCCCCGGGGCAAAACTAGGCCAAGTGGAAGCGCAACCAAAAACGGGCCCCGCACGGCTCGGCACGCTTAAAGCGAGCTCCTCGCTGCAGTGGAAACGCGCCATAAATNAACATGTATTTTAAAGAAGCATTGATGCAGCTGTGTGCCAGAAAAAAGGCATCAAAGTACAAAAGCTGTAATGATAAATGATAAATGGACTGTACTTATATAGCGCTTTATCCAGTCTTTAAGACCCCTCAAAGCGCTTTACATACTACATGT